TCCGAAGGCGCGTTGGGAAACGAATAATGCCTTCCAAAAACTAAGCAAATTATTAATATGGAAGAAAAGAAGAAAGAACTAAACACCAATTGTAAGAAGGCAGAATGTATTTTTGTCAGCGGAAGAAACATCCCCCACAAGCAAATCACAAATGGTGTTGGGTACCCAAATTAAACACTTACAAAATTTTAAATATGTAGGAAGTATTCATAAAAACGTATGGATAAGGAGACACTGAAATCCGAAGGCGCGTTGGGAAACGAATAATGCCTTCCAAAAATTAAGCAAATTATTAATATAGAAGAAAATATCTTTAGAAAGAAAGAAAAGAATACTGAAATGCTATGTAATATTTGGCCTCGTATACGATAGTGAATGCTGGACAATCTCCTCACGGATGAACAAAAATCATGAGGCAACAGAAATGACATTCTAGAGAAGGATACTAAGAATACAATGGAATGGGAATGTGAACAAAGTCGAAGTTTTAGATAAACTGGAAACAAAAAGGAGACATATACGTAAGATCTGGAAGAGTCAGTTGAGGAAAAGAGAGCTTAGAAAATCCGAGACCTACAGAAAATACTGACGGTGACAGGGACAAAGGAAAACAGCGTATTAACTACTTAACGAGGTTGTGTAAATGCTTGGCAGAACAGGGATTAAGAGAGACGGCAAGAAGCCAAAATTTACCTTGAGTTACAATGGACCGCCAATTGTGGAGAGCTGTGATAGATCAGAAGAAGATCTGACACTAAATTGTCCAAGGTAAGCGGCAATACCTTACATAGGTATTTCACGTAAAATCCTTTTCACCTTAGATCGTAGAATATGAGATAGACCCAAATTTTCAGAAATCGTATACACCATTCGTCTGCCATCCAATACCAGACCTTATTTGAACAGCGATAATTCACGTTATGAGCAGCCCATACGGTATTCCCATTAAATCAGAAGATTTAAAGGCTAACTGATATAAGTCCGAGCATATCCATAATATCATTATACGTTAGTGCAAGCCATCATTAACTACATATACTACAACGCTATGGCTTTTCGACACGTCATTACACACACACACACACACACACACACACACACACACACACACACACACATAGCTATCCTAGGCATTTCATATCTATCTATCTATCTATCTATCTATGTCATATTTTTAAATAAATAATTATATTTATGCTCTACTTTTGTAACGAGCACTATTTTTTAAAAATAATAACAAAAATACTAAAGAACTTTGGATTATTTACCTAACGAGTTCTTTCCTATTTTCTATATATTTTCACACATATATATACTAGCAGCATGGCCCGGCGTTGCCCGTGCTTGATACAAAAATTTTACATATATATATATATATATATATATATATATATATACAGAAAAATATATGTATATATATGTATAAAAATATATATATATATACAGAAAAATATATATATATACAGAAAAAATATAAAATGACCTCATGGAGGTATAGTCTATATCAGATCGACATAACAATGCCAATCTTCATCAGCCCTGAATGCCTTTTGGAAACCATAATATAAATGGTCTTTTATATTTAATACATTGAGCTGTCTGTGGATCATTTTTAATATTTGATATTACTAGTATCTACTTTTATATACCACATTATATACCAACCAATTTATTATCTGTATTTTATATATATATATATATATATATATATATGTGTGTGTGTGTGTGTGTGTGTGTGTGTGTGTGTGCTAAAAATATCAGTGAAATGAATGAAAAAGGGGAATAAATTCTTCGTAAAGCATAGTGTCTTCTATTATTAATTACAGAATACGCGCGTAGATGCACAAACAGACACAGTCACACACACATATATATTCTTCTTTTTTATTATTAGTATTGTTGTTATTGGTTTTGTATGTACGAAATTCCCTTAGGATGTCGGTAATAATGGCTCCCCAGAACTTCCTGTCGTTTGCAGCGCTTAATAATATTTGTCGGTTTGCTGCATCATCGTCTTTCTGTTCGTATTCTCTCTCCTCTCTCTCTCTCTCTATCTATCTCTCTCTCTCTCTCTCTCTATATATATATATATATATGTGTGTTTGTTTATGTGTGTGTGTGAGTGTGTGCGTGTGTGTATGTGTGTGTGTGTGCGTATGTGTGTTTCTCAGTAATTAATGAATTTTATATTCTTTCTGAAATTCTATCTGATCGCTGTAAATCATACTATTAAGTACGAACATGAATGAGTAGATGAAAGTTTTTCTTATGTCTTTTTGAACAGTGGGAATTGCATCTGCAAATTCGAAAAAAAATATTGAATCTTGTTGGGCTGTGAA